TTATTATTAAATAGGCCTACGGGTCGTGGTCGGTTGGAGAGCGTAATTGATTGATTCTCCTTTTCTTTTCTTTTTATTCTTTAGGACTCTCCTTCTGTTATTTCTAATCGTCTGTCTTGTTTCCTCCGAGAACCAGGTGACTGGCAATGTGCCGATACGTTTTTACTTACTGAAATTAATATTCAACTGATCCAAGCACAGATTTACACACACTGCATTGTGAGGAAACACTCTTTAACTTAAATAAACTTCATCTGTCCGAGCTTCCGCCGATTAATTCTTGTCAGTCACACCAAAATAATATTCTCAGCATACACCGTTTATGTCCCCTGAGCTATTAATATCTCCACGGGTTTTCAACACATCGCCGAAACTGAAACTGAAACGGGAATCTATGATTCAGTGACGCTCACTTGTTTCCTTTTGACCTGATCAAAATTTACTGTTATAATCAACAATAATGTTAACCTATTTGTTTTAATATAATATTAATACCCGAAAACCACAGCTTCCCTCCAACTTATAGATATTATTCAAATTCGGATTTTGTTAGATCAACGTATTATTCGATCTATTATTAGGCCTATTATGCACCTCATTCCCACCGACTCTTAAATATCAGTTAGAATCTAGATCTAGAATCTACATTTTACATGACATCTTGGATAATCCTAGGCTGTGCAATCGCATGGCCCTGCATCTTTTATAATAATACTTGTAGGGATTCTTTCATTTAAATATAGGCCTAGCCTATCCTAAAGTCCAAAACGTTCCATTATCAGGTTGGAATTTGAATCGACGTGCGTTACCTAGGCGTTCGAGGGACCGGTTTGTTTTAGTTTCAGTTTCATTTTCAGTATTCACAATTCAACATAGATCTAGATTAGATCTACTTCCGATAGGGTGTGTTGCGTGTTTTGTAACATGAAGTTTCTTCTTTCTATGGCTGTCTGTCTGGATGCTAAGGGCGTAGCGTGCTGTGCTGTTGCATCAGCCAAATAGCCCTTACCTTTGCAGTGATAATAATATAGATAAAAAAAACCCAGCTTAGCCTTATTTGAGTGCGATTCTGCAGATGTAAAACTTTGGACCAGTCACTAGAATCTGATCTAGATCTAGATCTAGTCGTCAATCAACGCTGACCCTGTCTTGTCTACTGAAGGGCCTAGCTCTGAAAATTGCACAAGACGTCGACGAAAGTGAAACTTAGAATTGAGAACAGAGGTAAGTTTCTTCTTTGTGTCAAGAATCTAGTTTACTCTAAAACCTTTCCACTTTTTACTCGTATAGTATAGATCAAAATCTAGATCTAAATATCTAGATCTAGATCTAGTCTAGATCTAGATCTAGATCTAGACCTACTCGTCTCTTTCTCTGCTGGGGATTGGGGACATATTTACACGGTCTGAGGCCTATATTATAGTTAGGGCCTCCTATAGATTTAGTTAGACATATATTAGCCCTATTTTTTGTGATGAATCATCTATCATGTTTCTCCTTTAAAACACTAGATCTAGATTTTGTGTATCAAAGGGTTATTACTTCAGTAATAGCTTTTCATAAAAACAGTCCAGTGCTAGATCTACCAACCCCACCACTGTCATTCCTAGGTTAGGGGACTGGAAACTCATAGTTCTGGGTGGTCGGAGGGTGTCACTAGCTGGCAGGTAAGTTATACTTCTTTAATTTCACTTTGTTATTATTGTCTGTCTGACTTATTCTTTCGTCTAGCACTAAAAGATGACGCATTATTGTGCCGCCGTGCCTCTTTTTGCCATCATTATGATCATGAGAATTTTTCTGGGTGTTGTTGTTATGGGGGGAGGACTTCCGTAACGAGCGACCACCCCATCAAACACAATAACGAAGAGGCCTAACCCTAACCTTAACCCTGACCCGAACCCTATCCCTACTCCTACCCCTAGCCCTCAATTCTGCTCTGTCTGTATCATAGTGGTCGCTCGTTGTCGTTACGGAAGTCCTCCCCCGTTATGAGGTCTCCTGGGGTAACATTAATAATAATGTTACTATAGGGCATTATAGAGCTTAGTTTATTGTAGAGCGTGCATGGATATGTGTTACATAACAAACGTAATTTAGTAGTAGTAGTAAATGTAGCAGTTGTAGTAGTAGTAGTAGAAGTAGTAGTAGTAGTAGTAGTAGTAGTAGTAGTAGTAGTAGTAGTAGTAGTAG